TGAATGTGCTTGACTTATTTCAGTTTAATATAGCACCTAAATACATAAGAGGAGCCTCAGCACCATGAAGTTCTCTCTGTCCTGAGAGCATTTAATTAATAGTAGGTGAATAAGTTCAACATGATTTGTTGGCTCTACAATGCACCAAGCACAAAACCTCTTTAACCTTTAAACTTTACCTCACAAACAATGCCAATTTTGAGTCTTTAAATTTTGTCAAGCTGCTGTCATCAATATTTTTCATTAACAATGACTCAAATGGAGAAGGGTCTAGCTGCAGAGCTCCAGGCTCAGGCCCACCTCCTCCACTGGACCCTTTCCTGTCCTGAGCCTGGAAAATAATGTCCGACATTGTGTATTCCCCCCAGAGACGATCATCAAGATATTCAATTCAATAAATCTTTATTGTTCCCAGAGGGCAGTTCTGCTGCAGCATTAAAGAAAAACAAGAAACACTGAAGAGACATACTGTACATACAATTACTGTAAAAGTACAACCAACAACAGCACAGTACCAAACAAAGACTCCTTAAACAACAAGTAATAGTGAAAACATCAAGTTTGGAGAGTGCAATAAGTAAAAACTGCAAGTAGTAGAATGTGTGGGACAAGTCAGCCAAGACAGAGGTCACCTTTCTCACCAGGTGTTTCCATAGACTGCATAAATAATGGAAGTAGCTACCATGACATCACCCACTGGTTTGTGTACTCTCATTTTGAAGCCTCAAGTTTGGCATTTCGGCCATCACCAGCTTGTTTTTTTTTTGTTTTTTTTTGGAGCCAGAGGTGACCATATTTGAAGGAGAGGGTGGCGTTGTGAGGAGGGGTGGATCTGACTGGGAAGCTGAAGACACTATTGGCCGACAGCTTGTCTCTTAAAGTGGCCCACCCTTAATTATGCAATAAGCAATAACACACATGCTTTACCACCTTATCGAATGCAATAACACGCGATTTTCCTCCACGGGTCCTGGTGATGGAGATGGGTCCCAGTGCCTGAGGTGGGCCCGAGCCTGTAGCTCTGCAGGTCTCTAAATATGACAAAAGGAGTCACATGTAGTGACAGACTAATGAGAATCATCATCTGACAGACTTGTCTAACAGGAACTTAATAAAATTTAAGTGTTTGATTCTAAAATAAGTGTTTAAACCCTCTGTGGTTATTTTTTTTTACATGTTTTTTACAGTCTCTGTGAAGGCAGTGCATGTACCTCTGTTCAGTCAGGAATTAAGCATTGTTTTCTGTAATGTTTCTATAGGCAGCAGTGATGACGCTGTGGTCCAGTTGGTCACGTTGGCTATGAAGCTCTTCAACAAGATGGTGGACAGCAGTGCCGCCTTCCACCTCACCCTCATCAATGTTTGCTTCAGTAACCTGCAGACCAGGGGAGCTGCCGTCAGCGGAAAGGGCTCCATAACATCTTTCTTCACAAACAGCACTTCTCCCAGAAAAACACAACTCTTCCCATCACAAATCCAGGTAGCAGAGTGACTTAGTGTAGTATTTCTGTCTTGTTATTACTGTTCAGATTATGTTTTCCTCATTTTCATCAGTTTATCTTCAGGGAAGTTTTAAAAAGCATTTAATTCAGGTTCCTGAAATATTTTTGTCTAGGCTGATGAAGGCGGGAATGGCAGCTAACACTTATTGTCATCATTTCTTAATCTGTCTGGGTTTTTTTGTTTGTTTGTTTGTTTTCAATTTATCAGTTAAGTTGTGAAATGTGAAAAGATAGCTGGAAAAAATCACTCACAATCGCAATTTTACAGAGCTCAAGGTGCCATCTTCAGATGTCTTATTTGTCTGACCAACAGTCCAAAAACAAAGATATTCTGTTTGCTTTTATATATGACAAAGAGAAGCAGCACGTCCTCACATTTCAGTGGCTCAAACCAGATAGCATATTGCATGTTTTTCACAATTCTTGTTTGAAGAAAATGACTGGAATAATTGAAAAATAGGTGCAGATTATCTTTCTGTCGGTCAACCAGTTGACTAATCGCAGCTCTATACTGATGCTCTAGACTGGTGCTCCCAGCAGTAGCTAGGAAGCTCATTGTCTCATAATGGGCAGATTAATTATTTGTAATAAATTAAACCATCCATCCATACACTTTTTTGCTGCTTATCTGGGTCCAGGTTTAAGGATCGGCATTTTAAGTAATTTCCATGTGGGGTGTTGGTGGCTTGGTGGTGGAGCGGGCGCCCCATGTGCAGGGCTGTTGCCGCGGCGGCCCGGGTTTGGCTCAGGCTCATGGCCCTTTGCTGCGCATCGCTCCCTCTCTCTCTCTCCCCCTTTCATGCTTGTCTGTCTTATCAATTAAAGACTAAAATGCCCAAAAAATATCTTTCAAAAAAAATAAAAATAAATAATTCCATGTTTGAGTACTCACATTAAATTATTGTACTGTGTTGTACTGGCAAAAAAAAAAATAACATAAGATTAGGAACATAAAAAAAAAGCCAAAACGGAAAACAAGTGCAATTCAAAATTCATTTATTGAGCAACCAATTAGCCCGTCACACACTAAATTCAAAACTGCCCTGTATGCTAAATGGTTAAAGACAACCTACTTACAACCTCTCAGAAAGGTCTTTGGCAGTAAAAGGTTTTTCAGTATCGTCATTTAATATACAATCATCCCAATGTGCAAATGGGCCCTTTTTACATTTTTTGAACCTCTAACACAAATGTACATATCTTTATAAAACATGTCCATCAGTATCTCTTTACTTTTTTCATGTTGAGCTAATCTAAATGCAAACAGCTTGTTTCCAGTATTAAAACACCATAATATCTTTCTTTTGCTGCCCAAGGGTGAACGCAACACTGAAGGACAATATCCAGAATCACTCTCCTCCTGGTCAGTTCAGTGTCTGCCTGGTTAGCACGTGCTAACACGACAGCAGCTGCTAACATCCAACACCAAACCATTAAATGGTCCCAACAAACTCACAGCGACACCAAAACGGCTTGATTCTATCGTTAAACCCGTTCATAACCATTAAGTAAAGTTAGTCATGTGATACTAAAGGTTAGCCCTGTCATTGTGTGACCAAGGAACATCCCAACCGCAGCAATGTAAGGGAAAAAAAAAGAATTCACAGGCAGAGGGCAGAGTCTCTGCAGATAAATACACCACTACAAACTGCCAGTGGGGCTTAAGTGATGATTGAGAAGGATTACCTCTGTATGAGCCAACATTATTTTTAGGAAAAACACCTTTGAATTGATTCTATGTAATATTAAAAGGTCTTAAAAAGTCTAACATTTAACTTGAACCCTGCAGACTCTCTGCTCCATACTTGTTCTTTCACACTCAGCTGTAAAATGATGCCTACAGACTTTTCCCATCGTGTGTCAGTAATCTGCATTTTCTAAAAGCATTTGTGCTCCTCCTCTTTTATTCTCCAATAGGATGATTCCTGTCAGAGAGGGGATAGTCACTGCATGGATCATCAGTTCAGCACACAGAGCGTGGTTACACAACACACCTCACAAAAGACAGTTGCCACAAAAAGCCCTCGAAGCTTGGAGGCAGAATTATGTGGGTTTGAAAGAAAACATGTTGCGGTAGAAGGCCCTCTACTTCAGAGAGTATCCTGCTGCACAGCAAGGCCAGACCATGAAGACACAAATATCACGGTGACACATCGATTGCCCCCGAATGTTGACCCCGAAGTGTTCAGGCTTCTCCCTGAGGAAATCCAGAAGGAGCTGTTATCTCCTGCTTACACAAACTGTCTCCCTGGCACTTCAGCAGGCTCATCTGTCGTCATCGATGTCCCCTGCATAACAAAAAACAATTCCCCACTGTCATTTACAAACTCACAAAATATTAAAGACACAAAAGAGGCTTCAGACAAATTGGATTCATTTAACAGGCTGACCAGCGTGAATCATGAAAGCCCTGAGGGCACAAGTACGCTTCCTGAAGAAGACGTCATGGAAGAAGAGACACCGTCATTCCCCCAGTCTTCTGACTGCGAGTTCCCGGGAAATGTGGACCTTAAGGTGTTTTCTGAGCTTCCGCCGGACATACAGAGGGAGCTGATGTCTGAATGGAAGCAACAGAAGGCGGTTCTGAAGATGCCCTCATCCAGGAAACCAGGGAGAAGCTTGATGAGCAAAGACAGAAAAGCTGCAGGAAAAGGCAGTCAGACAAACAACTTGTTCAAGTATTTCAAACCCTGTTAGAGCGGGACAAATTACCTCTGCCAAAGATAATGTCTTGCAGGAAAAACTCATATTTAGTTATGTTATTTCTCTCATGGAAAATCTCCTCTTTTATTTTGTGGTTGTTCTCATGTGATATATACAGGGAGTGGACAAAATAAAAGAAACACTTCACAGTATTCTCTGGTAGCCCTTTAGCGAGGAACAATTTGGCGAGGCGTTTTTTTTAGACAGTACTGTAAATTTCAAAGGTGGCTACACAAATATAACCAAAGATCAAAAGGCCAAACACAGCAAAATATGGCACTGTAATAATGGCAAAGAAAGTAAAAAAAAAAAAACATGCCAAACATGAGAAAATGGCATCGGAAAAAAATCAGGAGGTCAATTACAATTAGATCCACTCTAACATTAAAGGGCAACTTAAGTGTTTTTCAACCCGGACCCTATTTTCCAACGTTTTTATGACTAAGTGACTGATGTAGACAACCTTATTTTTTTTTTTTTTTTTTTAAATTAGTCCAGTATTGAGCAAGAGCATTGTAGCTGTAATGGGGAAACAGGCTTCAATGTAATTCCTATGGGCAACTGCATTTTCAATTTATGTCCTCAAAAAGTGTTTGTTTTTGTCACTGACAGGCTCAGATTATTAAAGGATCCCTACAGGGAAATTTTACGTCCTTCCTTACCTGTCATGGGTCTGTTTGTTATTGTGCCTAACTAAGTCTCGCTTAAGGAGGAGTCTCATTCTGAAATCTTGTGAGAAGTGACATGTTGCAGGAAAATGAATGGTGGAAATGTTAGTGAGAGCTGGAGAGAGGAGTGCTGGAAAGAGTTTGTTGTGTTGGAGTACAAAAAGTGTCGCTTAGTGTCATCTAAAAGATTTTCACTGTCATGACTGAATATTTATCTGATGTTAACAACGTGGAAAAGTCTGTGAAATTTCAGAGCAAAGCTTGTCCTTGAGTTAGATTTGGTCCCACACACTAACAAACAGACCAGAAATGTTTAATTTTTCTGTAGGGATCCTTTTCATAATGTCGTCAGATGCTTACAACGGAAATCTGAGCCTGTCAGTGGCAAAAATAAGCACTAATATAACTAAATACAGACTCAAGGTAAATTACTTAAGTTTGAGAACAAAAAATAAATAACTGAGGATTGACTTACTCACACTTTTTCTGCATCTTTCAACCATATTTCAGCAGTGGTTGCATGCAGGTGAACTTTGAATTCTTGTTTGCTATCTTTTAAGTCAAGAATTAGTGTTTCTGTTTTTTTGTCCACCCCTGTATGTCAGTGTTAATGTGCTGTTAAGTTACCTTTTTGGGAATAAGAATACATTATTTTTATAAACCTCACAAACTGCTTGATGTTTCTGCATCTTGAACATAACGTGTGAAATCTGCCTTTACCTGAAGCGACCTTATTATGTGACCATTTGTAAACAATGGCTCAAATTTAATTCCCAAATCTTAAAGGGACCTAAATTAAGACGTTAGCTTCAGGTTCATTGTTTTCATATTGTTTTCACATTGTTTAGAGAAGCGGGATTACTCCGCTTAGCCTCCAGAAGTGGGGCCTCGTTCCTCGGTTGGACGATTTCCACTAAAATCCACAGAGGCACACATTATTTGTCAGCATTCAGTTTTCAAAGAGCCCATTTTCCCCCCCTCATGAGAAATACCAAAAAACACAAGGTCTGTGAGCACAGCCCTGCTTGGTTCTTGTTGGCCTGAAACTCCTCCCTGGATCACATGTAAGAAGGGGGAAAGGTTCAGGATGTGTTATCGCATCATGATAGTGACTGTTTTATTCAAACAGGACAAGTTGAGCGACATCTGAATGGGCGTTGGCAACTCCTGCAGATAGACTGGTAAAGTACGTTACTTTTTTTTTGTCATTTCATGGGAGCTGTGAGATTGTGTCAGTGGGTATTGGAGGAAGTCACCCAAAAAAATTATATTTTGTCAGATGAGCACAGAGACTGCTGCTGGTGAGAGGGTTTCCTTTCCTCACTCTGCTGATGCAAAGAGTACAATATCATTAATCATGCTCATGGGAAGTGACTCCAGATTTCATGGTAGTGTCCCACTGCTGTGGTGCTGGAATCTGGGTTGACCTTTAATCCGTCCTGAATGCACTCACACACCCTTAAATGTCCAATATACTGAAGAAAAGCAACTTGTTTTCATCGGGATTGTTTGTGCCAAACCATCTCTTGTGTAACCAAATCTGATTTTCCACGCTGCCTTGCTGCAAGTGTAACTGAAGCATTGCAGTGTCTTGAGTGGCATCATACGGTGTTGAGCTGTCCGTGGCCCTTTAAGTCAATAAAAGGAGTTTTGTCTGCCAAACAGGCCTGTGTTTTTCACTCTGCAAAGTGTGAGAAAACTGGCGAGACATTTGACTGCTCATGTGGAAGCCAGCTCCAGTCATGTGCTAGTCCCTCTCTGATCAGAGCCTAATGAGTGGGGAGTTATGACGTCCTGCTAAGCCTCTGTGATGGTCCTGCACCCTCAGACTGAAAACTTGCAGCCCGGGTGGAACTACTTTGCTTTTCCTGTTTGCTCACCCTATAAGTGTATAAGTGCAAGCTCTCTAAACTCTTATGGTTCGTAATCCTTTAAACCAGCATAGCATTGTACTGTGAGTTCAACTCTGTGGCAGGTTGAGCACTCAGCTGCACAATGGCTGACTGGGACTATGACTATCTGATCAAGCTGCTGGCACTCGGGGACTCGGGGGTGGGAAAGACCACCTTCCTCTACAGGTACACCGACAACAAGTTCAGCCGAAAGTTCACAACCACAGTGGGCATCGACTTCAGGGAAAAGAGAGTGGTGAGTGATGATTGGTGCCTTTTGGTGAGCAGATTTTTGCCCTTAAAATATAAGTATTCACTTCAGTTGTTGGGTGGATGATCATGTTTGTGATTTGGTTCAGATGTACACAGGGAAAGGTGCTGATGGTTCGAGTGAGAAGAACTTCAAAGTCCACCTTCAGCTTTGGGACACAGCAGGACAAGAGAGGTAAATGTAACCTTGATGTTCACAGTATATTTTTATATATCGAGAGATGTTCTTTTAAATGTGAAGGAGTTGAACATTTCTAGCTTTTGCAGTGTAAGCTGTCACTCACTACCACCAGCAAATTCAAACCTGGCAACACTGAGTGAATGGGCTGAAAGCAAGTAACTTATTGAGCAGGACTGGCACATTTTTCTACAAACAAATACCATCAGAATAATTTATAAAATGTTGTAATCACAAATGCAAGACAAACAGTCTATAGCAGTGAAACTCAATTTACATAACTACATAAGGTGTCAGGATGCATTAAAAAGCATCAACAACTTGTTTACCAAAAAAACGTGCCAAGGAAGGATCCCCAGACCCCTGACAGTGGTTCAAGCTAAGCCCCGAATGCTCTTAAATCATCGAGACACCCTGTGTACATCTGACCTGTGTGGCACTGCTGCTTCTGGATATGCTTCTTAGCATAGATGAGTGAGGAGAGCAAAAATCAAAAGGTTTTAAACAGGCGATTCATTTATTTTTAAATTCTGATAAATATTATTAATATTTGTTAAGTAACAAGCCCCTGGTCTCTTGTCATTTTGCAAAAGAGGCCCCCAGGCAAAGCCCTGGTCAGGGTGATTGCAGGTCCTTAAAAACTCTTAAATTCGACGTTATAAATATTAAGCCTCAAAAGTCATAAAACAGTTTTAAATTTGAATTTTTGTAATGGCCTCAAGCATTTTACCTAATTTAATTTATTTACCTTTAAATTTCTTCTCTCTAAATTGAGTCAAGCTCATCTGTGTTAAAGTCCACATTTATGATGTTATAAATCTTGACACCTGACTGGAAGGAAAAGATTTCCGCACACTTACATCTATGCAGGGTTTCACTTTTTTCTACTAGTGTGGTATTTTTGATGTTTCCAGCACCTTGCTGAGACCAAACTAGGTGGAGCAGTGGTTATTCTGCATAAATATTTAAACCTACCACTCAACCTAATACTGTCTCACTACCTTATACTTGCACTTGCCTGATTGCAAACTATTGATTAACTTCACTCACTCTAATAACCATAATCCCACAAAAAAACCTACTTCTGTATGAGACCAGATATATACTACTTACCATTATACTGACCTGCAGTGTTTTAATAAGAAAAAGATGATTTGTCCAAAAATCTGTCCAAAATTTGGTTAAAAATTATCTTAAAGGGTCCTAAAAGGCATTGAATTTAAATGTTTGACGCCATGCTAGCAGCTCTGTGAGGCTGGACTCAATGAGAGTGTCATCAGTTTTGCTGTTATTTGGTCATAAACCAAATTAAGTAGACAACTATAAATTTCAATCTGATGATGGTGCAAGAGGAAAAGTTAGCGATCACCAAAGTATAATTTATCCCAAGAAGAACATGAATGCCTGTACCAAATTTTATGGCAGTTGTTGAGGAATTAAAAGCCACTTAAAGCCACAAATTTAATCCCCGTGGGGGCAGCAGAAGAAAGGTTAGGGGTCGCCAAAATCAAAAGGGACTGTGAATGTCTGTGCAAAATGATGTGCCAGTGTCTGCAACAGTTGTTGAGATAAATACAAATCACATAAAATAAATAAATATCAAGTATGTGTGAGGGTGTGGTAGAAACCTATAATGGCTTATATAAAAAAAACAAAGGACCTCCAAAAGGTAGAAAGTAAATATATAAAATCACCAATACAGTTTAAATAGTAGCGTTTCAAAAATTTCACTTAAAATAAGTGCAGACATATAGTTTAAAATGGAAAAGTAGAAAAAATGTATAGAAACAGGAATATTTGCCATATTTAGAGTAAAATTACTGTTATACAATATTTCAGTGTAGACCAAATGGTGGACCAAATGTGCACATAGCAGCTTTAAACTGTAAAATAAATCTGTTTTCAGGTTCCGCAGCCTCACCACAGCTTTTTTCAGAGACGCCATGGGCTTCCTGCTGATGTTCGACTTGACCAATCAGCAAAGTTTCCTCAATGTCAGGAACTGGATGAGTATGTGTCATCTCAGCAGAACTGCTCAGCTTCAGATCAATCCGCTTTTGGATCAGTGTTCTCTGTCTTGTTGCCAAAAGGAGTGAGAGTTAGAAACTTGACTAACAGAATTTAAAAAAATTGCTCATGCATGTCTATTTCCATTACATGGGTTTAAATGACTTCCTCTGTGCTGGCTCAGGTCAGCTACAGGCCAACGCGTACTGCGATAGTCCAGACATCGTGCTGGTGGGCACCAAGGCGGACCTCTGGGATGTGAGGGATGTTCATGCCAGACAGGCCAGAGATCTGGCAGACAGATATGGGTGAGGCTTCAACATAAAGTACCATTGTTAGTTACAGTGCAGCATGTTGAAGGCAGTGTGTGGGACTGTGTGAAGTGGAGAGGATTACCAGTAAAGCTGCTCCTGATGCGGGAAGATAACACTTCCTCTTCTTTATCAGACTCTATGTGTTGGAAAACATGAGTCAAATTCAAAGCAGAGGTAGATTTTACTTACTCTACGCTCTGTGGATAAAATATATAATATAATGTTACATCTTTACAAAGTAGGGTTTAAGGCTAAGTCATTTTACATCTTACACACACATTATCTTGTTGGTGGAACAGACTGAAATGTCATAAATAAGCATTTCAGCAGTACGTGAGGAGATTTTTTTAATTTTCATTTCAAAAAGCTGTATTTACACACATTATTGAGCAGTTTGAGTTACTGATGAAAACTAACTTGTTTCTCAACTGAATCAGAATTTGAAATTGTCCAGTTTTCTAGTTTACATCATTATTGTTTACAAATTCTGTTATATAACAATAAAAACCTTTACCTATGTCAGAAATTAATACATTTAGATGGAGTCTTAAGTTAAAGCAGTCAAATTTGTTTCTGACATTTTTGGACCAAATATTTAGTATATTATTTAATCAAAAACATGAATAATAATTATTAATAATGAATGAAAAATTAAATAATTTAGCTTAAACATCTTCATGTGTGTTTGTAGCTCAAGCAATGTCATTTGAGTGTCATACTCTAATTTAATAACGTTTTATACAACATTTTAATGAAAAAGCACTAAAATACAGCAGGTTTTCTGAGATGCCACTTTGCTTTATTTGCCAGTTACACCACAGGATGGTGCCAGTAAGCTGTTTGTTTTTAACCATCCTGCTCTGATCTTCCTCCTGAGGGTTTATAATTCGATTCAGCACAGTTGTTTCCAAACTGTGGATCAGGGCCGCACCGAGGGGTCATGAGATAAACGTTGGGGGTCATGAGATTAAGAGAGAAAGTCAAAACAGGAAATAAATTTCAGCCTCTCAAGCTTTGACATTTTCATTTTTACCAGTTAGATACTGAATAGTTCTGCCTCTTCAGGTCTGTAAAATAAAATGAAAACTTTTCATTTAAACTACTCAGGACTTGCAGATGCAAACTGTGACAAGAGTTACAAGTATATTCTACTCTTAGGAGTTCAAATGAAGGTTGTGAGCCATTGATATAACAGCAACATAAAAACACAATCTCATGTCAGCAAACTCCTCTCTCCGTTCTCACCAGCATCCCCTACTTTGAGACAAGTGCAGTGACGGGTGCTGAGGTGGACAACGCCGTGACCACCCTGCTGGAACTGGTGATGAAGAGGATGGAGCAGAGCACTCATTTAGGCCACAGCTCTGAAATCAACGGAAGCCCCGTCACCAGCCATGAGGTGGAGGAGGCTCCCGCCAGGAGGTGGTGTGCTTGCTGATGCTACTGCCAGCTGCCACTCTTCTCACATTGGCCCCAAGTAACACTGAGTTTCTAAGATGCCGCACCAGAAGGAAATGTTGGCACTGTACGTTTGTGCAAACCATGAATACATTACATTTGTATGTTTCATATATATCAGTGTTTCTAAAGTGACGTAGTGTATGAGCTGACTTTGCATTCGGGAGGTGGAGGGGATGATGGATTGCATGCCACCTAGGCAAGATGCCTGCCAAGCTGCAGACTACCATTTGAGACCAACAAATAGCAAGTCATCGTTGTGTTTCTGGTGGCTTTTAAGCTACCAGACGTGGGTGGATTTTAGCATTTTTTCGCTGTGTCCTGCCGGGATAGTGCCACAAAAAGCAGCTGTTTTCTACAGAGGGATCGACGGCTTCTCCAGCCATGATTACAAGATCTTTCCTGCCCATAAACAAGTAGTTTTTGTGCCTAAACGTATCCACATTGTAACCACAGCTTTGTGAAAATGCAAACAACCATGATGTTCTAACATATCCACTACATAGTGATATACAAATGTATCTGTGGTTTGCATAATCGTACAATGCCATCATTTTTTTCTGGTGATTGGGTTGGTTTTCTGGAATGCATGCTGGATGAGGCAGAAGATCGTAAAATCAACTAAAAATATGATCCATACTTGAGCGGGAATGTGGCCTGATATTGTTTTTGCAGCGTGAATTCCGCTCTTAACATATACTGCCTGTAATGTTATATATTCACAGCCTGTGCATTGTGAGAAGTAAGAAGGAGGAGATAGAGCACAAGAAGTTAAAAATGTATATAGTAAGTGAATATAGGTACTGATGTAAAAACTGGGATGTTTTAAAGACACCAAGTGGTTGTGATTTAGCAACAAAAAAAGGCTAATTATCATCTTCAATGGGTCATATCAGAGAAAAATACTGTTTTTATTTGACACATTGAGGCATTGATGGAAGGAATATGCAGGCACATAACGTATATTTATCATGGAGTATAATCAAAAAACATTTAAGACATGGTTACATTTTTTATATGGATGATCGTTTTTGTTAGAACAACCAAGATAGCAAAGTCACTTAACATGATTTATGACTTTCATACGACATGTACATAAGCAGCCAAGCTTTTCTATGCGTTATGGAACAGAGTTGCCATGCAGATCGAACACAAGTACAAGAATGTTAAAGGGTTGTTGGAACGAATCCTGTACAGTGCTGTGTTTGGAATAAAGACATTTTATGTTTAGGTTATGTATATGTCATTGTTGTTTGAATGTAATGCACAGAAAGCTATACTGTTGTTCTGACTTGAAACACAATCCTCACGAACTCTGTTAGCATCATTATTGTTAACTCACATTCTACACATTGACTTTGATCAAATTAAAGGGTAACTTTGGTATCTTTTACCCTGGACTCTATTTCCTCATGTTTTGTGTCTAAGTGACTAATGGGAACAACAGTTTTAGAAGATGGTTCAGTATTAGGCAAGAAGGCAGAAGTCGGCAGCTGCAAAACAGGCTTCGATGTAATCAGTCGGGGCAATTACACACCGTGAATGTTCACTAAAAGTGCTTGTTTTTGCCACTGACAGGCTAAGATTGTAATTCTAAGTGTCTGACAATGTTATGGAAAGGATTCCAACAGAGGTCTACCTTCTTGTTAAAGAGTAATATCCTTTTTGTTTAACTAGAAACAGCCCCAAATTTGTCATCACAACACTCACCAAACTTAATTCAAATAACACTAATTTTAGTGTGTATAGAGGCAGAATATTTTCACATCTAATTGTGTGAATTGAGAGTTTATTTCAACCAAACCAGAGTTGGTAATTGTTGAAACAGTGGACTGACTAAGTAAGACAGCCTTTGTGAATTTCATTTTGGATAAAGTGTGATTTACGATGATAAAAATAAGAGCCATTTTTGGACCAAAAAAATGTATTAAATCTATCTGGAGCCACAAAATATATTTTAACCTTATAAGAAAGGTAACACAGCCTTATTAAGTCTAAATTAGCTTATCAGCATTACTAATGGGTCTAATCATTAATATGTTTTACCGTTACGTGACTTCTCTGCTGTTAGGTGTTTATGAATATTTAATACCTTGCAGCGAAAGTAAACAAATCTGTCTATGCACTATTAAATTCAATATTTTCCTCCAGGACTTTTCCTTTCTGGACTTGGAATCCACAGCTAGCTTCGCTAAGGAAACTCAAGACAAGCCATCGCTCTTGATGTTTGGCAAAATTTAGAGAAAGGATGCCAGGCTGTAGACATAGCTATGATTTACATTTTAGTTTAGAAACATTTTTAAAATTTGTTGTAGGCCTAAAGGTTACACATTTTTACAATTAGATAGTGAAAAGAATCACTTTAGGCCTAGAACAATGATAAATGATAATTAAAATGTTCAGAACCAACTTTGATTCATTTACATGTAGCCTAATTTTTGGTTAAAGCCACAGGGAGCCACTGGAGCTACAGAGCCACATGCAGCAGGTTGCCTACCCCTTGTCTAGTGGGTTTGGCAATTGCAATTCTGGGGCTGTTTCTGATTAAACAAAAAAAGGGTCTTACTATATAACAAAAAGGTCTGTCTCTGTAGGATCCTTTCCATAATGTTGTCAGACACCTAAAATAACAATCTGAGCCTGTCAGTGGCAAAAACAAACACTATTAGTGGACGTAAATTGACGGCGCACAATTGCCCCAACTGTTTACATTGCAGCCTGTTTTGCAGTTGTTGTCCACAGCCCTCTCGCTCAATACTGACCAATTTTTAAAAACTGCTGCTTCAAATTAGATCACTCAGACACAAAAACACGGGAAAATAGGGTCCAGGTTGAAAGATACCAAAGTTACCCTTTAAGAGAAAACCTTTAAATGTCCTGCATTTATGTCAGTGGATTCTTCAAACAAACCGATCTATAGGAGGACATTCATGGAGTCACAAAATAATTCCACCACAATGGCTGAAACCAAAAAAGCAAATAAGTTTAAAATGATTTTTGTGCCACAAAAAGTGATATTTACCATTAAATTCAACATCAAAAAAAGGAATACTCCATTTCTTATGCAATAAAAGTTGTTAGTCGTCTTACAGCTTCCAGAAATACCAAATAAATCTTTATCAAGCTAACGTTTCTACTTTGGTGTACCAACAAAACATTCCTAATGGAAAGGACTACAGGAATTATCCTTAAATGTTCACATCTATGACATCAATTAAATGGCCTATAGTTCAGACTTTCGCATCAGATATGTGTTTTCATGGTGGTGACTGCGCTGTGATTTTGAGACGAGACACAAAAAAATGTTCATCTTGCCCAAAGGAGACGAGACAGAAGGACGTTTTGTGTGGGACTGGATGGCAAACAAGCGGCTACCATGCCAAATCTGAATGAGCAAAAAAGCGCACACTACTATATGGTAAGTGTGAATGACTGCGTTGCTCTGTGTATTAAACCTCAGCCTGAGCCAGAGTTTGCATCAAGGAGCACATGTTGTAGAGTCATGAGACAAGTCATGTGGCCAGCGTTCAACCCAGTCAGACTGGCATGACAGGGCGGACTGTTTTTGAGAACCCCAGATTATCTACAGTTACAAAAAATAAAGCTTGTTCATTTTTGAGTTGTTCTGTAGTGGTTTGGTCCCATGTGGAATATATATTATTTTAGGGTTCTTTTGTTTTTTTAAGCCTTCAAATGCCTCTCATACAAAGACACTGGTGATATTCGTAAGGAAAACACCATCAGGAGTACAAACAATAGCAAAAAACTAAATTTTTACCCTCAAAACAATCTTCAAAAAGGTTGTATAAAACTAGCCTAAAAGATTTGTTAGTGCCTCACATGCAATGTCATTTAAATGGATCATGCTCTGTATACGAGATGCACATAACATTCATTCATTTCTCTGTTTTATGTCACAAATATTGGTTTTGATATGGTGACGTGACGAATAAATAACTTCCCCCCAGTCAACAAAAGCTCTATAATAGTGTATTTCTTCTTTAGGTTTTTTATATATATTTATATAATTGAAATAGTGGTAAACCTCAAGATCATCTTGGTGTTGAAGAAACCGTCCAAACTGTTGTATTTCCTGATGTTTCGCCACGCTAGCGCCATGATTTAGGTCACAAGACAGTCTGATACCCTCTGCTTATATTGGTAAAACTGTCTTCTTGATTCTCATTGATCCATCAGTTGTGTTTACAGGAGATGGTTGCAGCTATTAATTGAAATTAAGCTTGTATTTACTGAATTAAAACAGGTTTCAGCACACTAACTGGGTCTTAAAACAATTAGTAGTTACTGTGAATATTTACACCTATAAAACTGCAGGTGTAACTGCTGCGTAGCTAACTGAACCAACTGACAAAGCTAACGTTAGCTTGCTAATATATGACACGTGTAGATTTAAGATAAAATAGATCATATTGAATTTGACTCATCTGAACTGTGTAAGAAAATAATATATGGAAATATATTTGGTTTTAAAGCAATACTTCAGTTTGGCCAATATGCTTCATCCCTTTCTTTCAAGAGTTAGGTGAGAGGATCAACACCACTGTCATGTCTGTATGTTAAATAAGAAGCTGGAGCAAGCAGCCAATTAGCTTAGCTTAACATAAAGACTAAAAACTACGGAAAAGGCTTGCTTGGCTCGTTCCAAAGACAACAAAATATGACTACCAGAATCTTCAATTAACAGGTTATATCTCATTTGTTTAATTTGTACAAAAAAATGTGTGTAAAAAAACAATTTGTGTTTTTTTGGGGTTCATTTCTCGGCCAGGAGCAGTGACTTCCTGTCATTCTGTCATCAAGTGAGCCTGTGACCTAAATTTTAAACAAACTAGTGGTGAGAATGAAGGAAGGACTTTATACACAAAATTAAAAATTGATTAACAAATAGCTAGTGAACCTTTAGCTCCAGTTTGTGAATCTAATGAACTATGCATCTGTTTTTCTGACAAAATAACCAGGAGGTCATTTAATGGGACTTAATGCGCTTTTGATGTAAATCACAAATCCTCAAACTCCCAAGAAATGTCCATGCTTAATTTGCACAGAGTTAGTCAAACTTAAACAATTTTATCATGACTTATATTTGTCTATTATTAATGTTTCTTTCTTTCTTTTTAAAGGAGATATTCGCACATCCAACCATCTCAGATGCAGATGCATCTTGAGAAAAGAAGATCCAGCACACTACATCACAGTTCATTGGTTATACTAATGTTTCAGTCCCTCTTATCTTTGTCACGACTGAGTATTTTATTTTATTATATTTAACTATTTTAAAATACTCCTGACCACAGGGGGGCTGGAGCCTATCCCAGCTGACATTGGGCGAGAGGCAGGGTACACCCTGGACAGGTCACCAGACTATCACAGGGCTGACACATAGAGACAGACAACCATTCACACTCTCATTCACACCTACGGTCAATTTATTTATTTATTTTTTAAAGATTTTTTTGGGAGCTTTTTGCCTTTAATGGACAGGACAGCCAAGTGTGAAAGGGGGAGAGACAGAGGGGGAGGGTGACATGCAGCAAAGGGCCACAGGCCAGACTTGAACCTGGGCCGCTGCGGCAACAGCCTTGTACATGGGGCGCCTGCTCTATCCACTAAGCCACCGAAGCCCCAGCTACAGTCAATTTAGAGTCACCAATTAACCTGCATGTCTTTGGACTGTGGGAGGAAGCCGGAGTACCCAGAGAACCCATGCTGACATGAGGAGAACATGCAAACCCCGCACAGAGGTTCCTGGTTTCAACCCTCCACCCAGGAACCCTCTTGCTGCGAGGCAACAATGCTAACCACTGTACCACCGTGCTGCCACCAAAACATTAGTATAACCAATAAATTGTGATGCTGAGCAAGAGCAGTGTGCAGGATTGTCTTTTATCAAGACTTTTGATTATTTAAAAATTTTAAGCAAACAAAATAAGCAAGCAGATATGTCATGTTCAGGATAGCAACTTTTGAAACAAGGTAATTTTTTGTTGTTGTGCAACGGACTTAATAATAAATATGAAATACCTGATAAGTGTGGTTAAACGGCATTTTGGATATTTATTTTTTGGAAGTTCTGTGACTTGAATGTAGCCGCTAGCGTGGCTATAGACTTGTAGTCTTGTTAGAAGATTTTTTTTTAATGTCTTGTAGTCTCAGAACCTAATGTAGGCCGATACCACTCTCTACAATTCAGCGTTTCAGTGACAACACACCATCGTCTGTCCATGAATTTATGGCTTATTGTTGGAATGTCGATTATTATTCCAAAAATTTGAAGAATCTCAACAAAATTTGAAGTGGACAGTCACACTGTCTACAGAGGATAAAAGACACACAAGTACAGTCTTGTAAACAAGTACCATCTTTCAGAGCAGTGCAGATTGTCTGACACCTCGTGGGGGAAAAAAGGCCTGAAAACAGGAACTGCACCTCTCTTGAGGCGTTGAATCTGATTACAAAAAACACTGATCTAACTCCTTCCCTGAGATTAGGCAGTGATTTCAGTGTACAGAATCAGTATACTGTTGTAAAAGGCGATAATCAATCAACACTGTGTTATACAGAACTGGAAGATTTGACTGTTTGTGTTGAATCCCTCTGCAAACTCCAGTTAACTGTTTGAGCTGTTTAGCCACAGCCAGCAGCCATGCAAAGGAGAGTAATGGAAGCAACTGAGCAGCGTAAAAAGTCCTAACTGTGAAGTGCTGTAGACAACAACATACCGAATAAATGAGTAACACTGTGAAAAGTCTGTGACATCTTCATGTGAAATTACAGCGCAATGTGAGTGTGTGTCTGTCAAATGAGGGCGTCATAAATTGACTTAACACTTATCATGCAGTGTGGGTCACAACAGAAGTTTGAGCTGAGCAGATGTGTCTGTGTCTCTGGAGTCACCTCTTTAAAAACCATCCACCGTGTGTCTAAGAGCAGTGCGTCAGGCTGAGTCTGATCACGCCTTCCCTGTGCAGCTTGTAGAGCAGCTTGAACTCGCTAGGCAGCTGGTGGGTCTCTTGCCACTTGGTGGTGAATTTGGTCCCTTTCTTGTCGTAGTAGTGGTAAGGCAGATCCTTGCCCGTGTTGGGGTCCCAGCCGAAGGGCCAGAAGCCGTAGAGGTGGATCTCGTCACACATGGCGGAGGCCAGTGTGTACATGAGGATCCCAGTGCTGAGACGCTTGGGGGAGAGGTTTTTAGTCTTCCAGTACCTGTGAGGGAGAAAACAAGTCAGTCATCTATAATCAGATATTAAATTAAAATACTTCTGAAAGCAGAATACCAGGTATAATCCTTCATCATCCTCGCCCACCATAATCCCACTGCCCTTATGGCTGTATGTTGTGGTGGATTGTAATTAAAGGTCCAGTGTGTATGATTCAGGGGGAAATATTGACAGAAATTGAATATAATATAAAATTTTCTTTAGTGTATAATTATCTGAAAATAAGAATCACTGTGTTTCTGTTAACTTGGAATGAGATATTTATATCTACATAGGGAGCAGGTGCTCGTCCACAGAGATCGCCATGTTGCACCGCCATGTTTTTACAGTAGCCCAGAACTGACAAACCAAACCCTGGCTCCATTCACATTCTTGAGTTTTGCGTTTTTGCATCGGCCATTAAGGTTTGTTGCCACACTACGGCAAAAGCCTTGAAAAAAAACACTGATTAAACTGCTTTAATCAGAGTTTTTACAGCTTTAAATCACCAGGTCTGTTTGTTTCGAAGAGGAAGAGACCTCTGTGGATAATTCAGCTCCTGGTGAAACCTCCTGAACGTAAATAGGCAACTGCTCTCTAACAAATTTGCTTTAGCAAATTAAAAGATAATATAATATTTCAGTGCTGTGTTTACAGCTCATTTCTGCTGTCTTTTATGTCACCAAAAAATCAGTTAATGCAGATTTACCTGCTCGTCATATTAGCCGCAAATTTTATTTTCCAAAATGAAAGTCTAAATTCTTTTTCAGAGCCCTCAGACTGCAAGGTAAACACTGACACTGGTCCTCATAGAGCTGATATTGCACTGTAATATGTAAAGTTTTAAAGGTATACTATGGTTGCTGTTTGTAAACACGCTTGCCAGTGAAAATGAAAGTAAAACCCAAACCCAGATTCACTTGTTTGGCATTTCGCCTCGCTATATTCGCCTTTTTTTGAGTACTGTGTCCTTTTGATGTGTGCTGCTTACAATGTAGCACCTTGTCACGACCTTTTAGTAAAGTCCAACCTCACCTGTTAGTTCAAAATCTGAACTAACAACCAGATTCACACTCTTACTTGTTGACATCGTGCATGATGTTTCCCGGCCAGGCCAGTTCGACCTTCAGTTGTCCCTTGTGCTCCACAAAGAAGTCCACCAGGGTCCTGGTTACTGTGGCTGAGGTATGAAGGAAGAAGGCAGGGATCCACAGGATGGCTCCCTCCAGCTTCTTCAGGTTGAGGAAGAAATTATTTCTGTCCTGAATGGTCAGCAGGTTATTGTAGTACCTCTCCAGGATGCTGGGGTTAAAGGTGGTCAGGTTGGTCTTCTTGCCCACATCCTTGGAGTAGACCTCCGTGGGGGCGAAGTTGCAGCGGAAGACAAAGTCGGCCTGGTCGATCTCTGGGCCGCAGTGGCTTCCTGTCAGGATGCCGCTGTTGCCCACCACGGCACACATGGAATAATGCTTGTTGTGGATTGGTGAGGTGTCGGGGAGCAGGGATTTTAAGTTGTTGCTGATGGAGAAGACGTACTTGTGGCTGGAGTAGTCAAAGTGCATCAGCTGGCCAACACGTACGCTGTTCTTTGTGAGGGAGAAGTTGGTGGGAATGTCGATGTAGCTGAAGATATCTTTCCTGAAAAAAGAAAAACACTTTAATACTATACCTGGCAGTGATGGAAGAAGTACTCAGATCTTTTACTTAAGTAATAGTGGCAATACCAAAATGCAGAAATACTTTGTTTTACTCATGCTTTACTGTAAAAGCAGGATTTTACTGTTGTAGTTTGTTGAGATGGAGCTAATTTTTGGCTATTTTTCTATAGAGCTGAAACTAATGATGATTTTCATTATGGATTTACCTGCTGATTTTTAAAATAGTGACCTTAAGTGGCACCTTTGTCCCCTTTTTGTCCAAACAATGGTACAAACTCAGTATTATGAATAAACTAAAATTATTAAAGCTGGGGTAGTCAGTTTAATTTTGGCGTCATCTGATCTGAGAGAAAGCTAGACTTTTGCACCTCCTTTTGGCTCTGTTTTCAGGCTTTAGAAAATCGACCCCATGACGGGAGACGTTGGCCAGTCACAGGTCATTTCAGAGAATGCATATTTCTATTTCTATTTCTATTTCTATTGTTCGACAAATGCAGACGCGCGTGCGCGTCCCTTGGGTAAAAGCCTGACTCAATGGCAGAAAGTCCTACAGAGAAAGTTGTGATTCCAGCAATGACAACAACTGCCTACACTGCAAAGCAACCCAAAAATGGACGATAGACCTATCAAAAACAGAATCTAAAGAAGAGACTAACAATTAAAAAACAAAAAAAGTGTCAAAATTTGCGAAGTGTGAGATGGAGATAAAATTTTGCTTATAATTTCACCTTCTACAAACTCTAGCCAAAGTTTCAGGCTGCAACTTTGAGTTCACCTTTATATAGCTAACATTAGCTAGAGCCTCCAATCACAGTGTGTCCTTCGCCTTTTTTTTCTGCTACTACAAACCATCATGCTGAGAGGAGAGCGAGCAGCAGTTCCAGAGACAGACCCCAAGTCAGCTGCCACAGAAACCCCAGTCCAGTCAGTGCAAACCCCAGCTCCAGGGGACCGGATAGCTCTGACTCCCCACCAGATCAGCAAACTTTCTGCTGCTGCTGTTACACAAGTTAGACCTGGGGCTGCCACTGGCCACAGCCTGCTGTGACACGAAGTTTGCACTGGTCGAATTTGAACTGTTTTTCCTCTGATGTCTTCAAAATATTCTCTTTAACTTCAGCTTTGACAGAAAAAACCAAATAACAGATGCTGGAGTAGAAGAAGTAGGAGTGGAAAGTAGCTGATAATTAAACACCTCTCACCTCTGCTGATAAAAAGCCGTCTTGTTGAACTTCCATTTGGACGGTTTTCCTTGGAGCTCCTCATTCAGGGCGTTCGTTAAGGGGATGAAAGAGGGGTCCAGGAAGTTCATGGCAAACTGAGACCTGTGAACAACAACCATGACAAAAATACAATCATGAGACACCACTGTGTGCCAAGTGTGAATACTCTCATTTGTGTTTGTTTGCTCTCGTCTTCAAGGGGATTAAAAGTGTCCAGATGGTTTTCTGTGGTATTTAAACACTGATTCTGAGAATAGGTTTTCTTAAAGCTGCAGACAGGCATTAATGTTGGGCATGGTTACATACTTGGGAAATCATCAGATTCTGATTCTCCACGTTTAGAAATATTGTGCAATCAAATGCTTTTTAACCCTTCAAATGCAACAACCATTTAATTCTAAAACACAGAAAACAGATAAGTGCTTACAGTGAACCTGAATCCATTTTAATATTAATATATCTTTCATTCATCGATCTGATCTTTTGAGTTGGCAGCTTTTGAGTTGCCAGGTTGTAGATAATTCCTCTGGCTGTTTGGATCTCTTATAGCTACCTCCTGCAAGAGAGCGGCACTGGATTTGCCCCAAAATCAATTTATCGACAATTTACTGACATTTACAACGACAGATCAGATTAAAAACCCTTTCTTAATAAAATATATGGACAATGAATTACCATCATTTATAACTGTATTAATAACTAATAGAACAGATTAACCCCAGCCAATTCATAAATGATTTATTGGTGATTGATAAAGCCTAAAGTTACAACTTGTTAACCTTTGGTGAGATAGTGGAACTTAAATTTATTTTTCAGCTTCATGTTTTAGCTGCATGAGGTGGAGCCAGTGTCTTTGAATGCATCATATTATATAAACTGACATTGGTGGAGGAATTATTCTTATCTTTTACTTGCATAAAAGTATAAATACCACAGTAAAAATACTCTATTAGGAAGTAAAAGTCATGCATTCAGAATGTTACTGAGGATGAGTAAAAGTACAGGCATACTATTAGCTAAATGTACTTAAAGCAAGGCCGTAGGTTTCATTTCAGTGTCAAACACTTAATTTCCTGCATTCTGGTGAGCTTTTTATGCACCAAATTGCACCTTTAATTTAGGGTTTCACTTTATTCAATTTGATTTCACTTAATTATTAGATATAAATCTGAAATTTGTCTTGCGCCCCACAATGTCGACAACAACAACAACAACAAATCTACATGGTTTATGGTGTAAATTCCTTTAATATTGTCAAAAAAGTCCTCTGAATATAAAATAATAAGAGCATTTGTTTGTTAATATGGAGTTACATTTAGAAACTTTATATACTAGGCTACAATATAAGTAGCTACTGTTATTACCTGCATCTCTCTCTCTGTCTCTCTGTCTCTCTCTCTCTCTCTGTCTCTCTCTCTGTCTCATTGTGTCATGCGGATTACTGTTAATTTATTATGCTGATCTGTTCTGTACGACATCTATTGCATGTCTGTCCGTCCTGGAAGAGGGATCCCTCCTCAGTTGCTCTTCCTGAGGTTTCTACCGTTTTTTTTCCCCCGTTAAAGGGTTTTTTTTGTTGTTCCTGATCAGCTGTGAGGGTCATAAGGACAGAGGGATGTCGTATGCTGTAAAGCCCTGTGAGGCAAATTGTGATTTGTGATATTGGGCTTTATAAATAAAATTGATTGAATTGATTGATTGACATCATGTTCTTTTTAAGGTCCGGTGTGTCGGACAGAGGGGGGATATATTATATTGGCAGAAATTGTGTATAATATTCATAATTATGTTTTCATTAGTGAACAATTAAAGTAAGATGTGTTTTTGTTACCTTAGAATGAGCTGTTTATGAAAGGCCCGCCCTACTCTGCCTTACTCTGCCTCTGATTGGCTTATCCTGAATTTCTTAAGGTCTTGCACATTGAGTCCACTTTTTTTCTGATGTGTTTTTTTAACCCATCATCTTAAAAAAAATCATTACGCACAGAAACCTTGCACACTGATTCTGATGCGTTTTATTGTTCTATTCATTGTGAAAATTCACAATATGAGACAAAATTTAAAGACCTTCTTTGCCTCTCTCTGCCGAAGCTACCTATCTGGCTGTCATCACTCTCCTCCCTGTCTTTCATTTGGCGCCGCAGCTGCATGAAGGGGCGCTGTCCTCCCTACCTGTCTCTACATCCTCCTCCACTTCATCATCATCCACCTGAATATTACTAACTGACCTGTTAAAAGTGAGCTGTCTGAGTTATGACATGATTCTGTGCACCTTGTCCGCTGTCTTGTTGTGACTGTGTCCTGCTGCCACATTTTCTTCACTGATGCTTGGTCAAATGTCTCTAAAGGCTCTGACGGATGCGAAAAATGCAGTAAATCGAACCTGTTCCGAACATTTTAATGACAGACGAAAGTTTCCAGACTCCTGTTGTTTAACCTAACCAATCCAACCAATGAAGGCAACAAGTACAAGCCAGTCACAGGGAGCATAGGACACGTCATTCCATCGCTAGCCAATGGTTCAAAAATTTGCTTATGGAGCGGGTCCTTTTCCAAAGAGTGCCATGTTGTTTCTACAGTAGCCATGAATGGACAAACCAAACACTGGGTGTAGATAGGGCCCTTCTCGATTTCACGTTTTGTTTTTTTTTTCATTTTCACATTGGCCAGTTCTCCTACATGCTTGGTTTCAGTTGGTTACAATATACAACCTCTCTGCTAGATGCCACTATGCTACTCACTAGACCAGTGGTTCCCAACTGGTCCAGCCATGGGGTCCAGATTTCTCCTTAGTCATTGGCTCGAGGTCCTACAGTTTGATACATTCTGCGTCATACTTGCGTTTGGCCATGTCATTGAGCTAGTTTGCTGTCTCTGTCAAGTAGCTGTTGGTTAGTAACTCACTCTGCAGCAGAAAACAGCACTTCAAAATAAAAGCTCTGTGCTGCAAATTTACTGCCCTTTTTCCCCCCACAAACTTGACACATTTGTGAGTCATTTGCGGTTCACCCAGAATGGGCCCATGACCCACTTTTGGACGGTGACCCAACAGTTGAGAATCACTGCACTTGACTACTTCATCCCCTTGTTAAATAATTTTTAATAGATTTATTTTTTAATGTAATGCAGTCTCTACAACGTGTAAATAATAACAAAAAGTGTATCTACCATACATCACTATAACCAATTATTTGGTGATCTGTCTACTATATAATTTCCTTTATGTCCTTAATGTTCAATTTAAGTTTGTCACTTGTAATTTTTTGACAGTATGTAGATTCTATAATGTCTGACTTTGAATAAATTTGACTTAAAAAATACACTAGCCTACTAACTACTAACTATAAAAGTCGAATAAATGTAGTGGAGTAAACAGTGCAAAGATCCCCTTTGAAATGTAATGAAGTAGAAGGATAAAGAAACATAGAAACACTCAAGTAAAGCAGAAAGGTGCTGTACTTGAGTACATGTACTTAGTTACTTTCCTCCACTGTCAGCAGATCATGCATTGTATAGGCCTATTTAAAATATACTGCTCTTCAAACTAACTTTCAGGCCAACTAATTATCTTTAGATAAATGTAGTGAAGTAAAAAGTACAATATTTCCCCTGAGCAAGTACCTTTAAATTGTACTTAAGCACATTACTTGAGTAAATGTACTTCAGAGCCACAAAAATGGGATGTGATTCTGCTGATGAATGAAGCAAACTCCATGCATCGCACCTGGCAGCAACATCAGCACCTCGGACAGCTCACTGTTTGACTGACAGGAAGCATGTGGCCCAAATTAAAAGGTAAAGTGATGTGCTGAGCTTTGCATCACATCCAGGTTGAATCGTGCACACAAGGCCTGGCCCCTCTGTGTTTATATTTACAACATCAATTATCTGCATGATCACACATAAAACCAAACATCACTCACCGAAATCCAGCGTGAAACATAATCCTCGGACCCCCCATGTAATATTTGGAGGAGGTAAAGAGGCTGTCTTTTCTCAGGGACACATAGCTAATGAGGGACAGGATGAGCACAGCGACGCACAGAATAACCAAACCTAGGGCCTTGGCGATGCGGACCATCTTGGGAGCGTTTTCATTCCCTGTATGTAGCTGCAGCGAGGCGTTGGCCTATGTTGTCATCGCCGGGTCTGCACTCTGCCTGTCTGCAAGACACAGACAAACTGGCGCTCATGGGCTCATATAATGGTATAAAATGGACGGCTGGTGGTGGTAGTCGGCTGCATGGTGAAGATGCCTCGGCTCGGTCCGCTCTCATTCCCCCTGACTGCTTCTTCTTCTGCTGCTACTGCTGCTGCTGCTTCACACGCTGCTGCGACTCCCCTCCAGGCTGCCGCTTTAATCATGAAGATGGAGCAGAAGTGCGTGTCAACACATACAGCCAGCGAAAAGACAAGCCCCGTCCCCCACCACCAGCATCATCACCTCCACCACCACCTCCTCCTCCACCCCCTCATACACCACACACACACTGAGCCTTCCCTGCAGCTCTCAGCATAAAGTAAACCTGCCCATTAATGAACAGAATGGGACTGAAATAAAGACATGGAGGAGATATGAGAGTCAAATCCTCTAATGTGTGCCCTCTCATCTTCAATCTGATCATTACTCAAGTAAATTTGAGGTACATGTACTTTACTTGAATATTTCCACGAGGGAAATACTGTACTTTTGACTCACATTCATCAGTTACTTTGTAGAATCGGTCTAATAATACAAAATATCATCAACAAAGAAATGTATTATTAGGGACTGTTCATTATTTATGAGGAGGGAGGGGGTGGTACAAAAAAAGGGGAGGCTGTGAAATATTTTTTTAAGCATTAGGGAGCGAATTATATTTTTAATTTTCGCTTAGGGGAACGGCACACAACTTTAGGGACGGTACACATGCCGCGTCTTTAACTGCCTGGTACACGGGGTCAGGCGCTAGGTGCTACTTTTGTGCCAGCTTTCAAGAGCGCGGCAGCAGGTTGTGTCTGAGGTTACTAAGCAGCCTTAACAAGCACTGTATCATAGCCTTCTTCTTCCAGGAACTGGAACATCCTTGGGACAGATGAAAAGCTCTGGCACCAAAATGATCAACTTTTCAATATTTACCACAGACCGATATGTACGAAGAAGTGAAAGATATCTGATGGCCGTGATTGGTTGTTCCTTGTCACGACACAAGGTGCGGGCAAAAAATTTCCCAAAAATGAACTCTGTTTATCACAGAGGGCAACCAAGAAAAATACACACTCGGGAAAGTGTGTGTGTGTGTGTGTCACAACAGCGTCACTCTGGCGTTTGAGCGCACCTGCCGCATGTCTACATAGAGAGCAAAAAATGCAGCATGTGTACATACGGCCCCTTAGATGGGTGTATTTTGTATTTATTTTACTGCCGATTTTAAAACATGCCTTCTAAACCCACAGGCATTTAGATTTAATAATTAAAAATATTATCAAAGAAATGTATTAGGCTATTATAGGTTGAGATGAGACTGAATTTAATTAAAATTAATACCAAATTTAATCGGCAAATAAATTATGATGTATTATTGATAGACTAAAATGCCCAGCTGTACATAAAGTAGTTGAAATTACCTCCACCTTTACCAGCTGCAACATTATACATATATATATATATATGACATGGGCCATTCTGCATTAGTACTTATATGTACTTCAATTAAAATTAAATGTAAGGGAAGTAAAACCCTGAGTTCGCGACAGGGAATTACTGCAGGATATAACATTATTTACAGTCATTTATGCATGTGTTTTATCCTACCATCTTTGTTGTTTTAGTAACTATATGTGGCGGTTCGAGATTGTTAAGTTCACAACTTTTAAACCACAATTACAGTCAGTGTGTCAGGCTGGTCTCAATGGGTAAACATGTATTATCATAACACTACTCCCATTGTCCCATATTTATCTCTGCTCTGTCATTTTAAATATAAGTGTGAACACTAAAATAACTTCAGGCAGTGCCCCAGTTCACCCCAAGTGGACAATTCACAATATAGGCAAGTGAACTGAAACAAAAAACAAAAACAAGTGGTAGATAAGAATCCGTTTATTTTTTATTTGGAAGGATTATTTCTGAACCTTCCAAAATACTCCACATTTTATCCAAACACAACACACATTATATGGCATTCACAAAACATAGTTTTTTCCTTTTTTTACATGTTATGTACATTTTTTTTAACATTTTCTTTACAATAAGCTTATTTTGGTAAACATCCATTCATAATCACGTTTCAATGTATCCATGCATAATACGGTCTTGTATGTTCACACTACAAGGTCCTCTATGTCACATTAGGATTGCGTACACACGTAGAACATACAATGTGTGTATATATGTATGGTATTGAGTATAAAAAGAGGTTTAAAAAAAGACTGAGGATGTGCTATTGTGTGAGCTGGTATTCAACAGTGAGTGTACCTCATGACTGACACACACACGAGTTCTCCCTTGTGCTTCACTGCTTTTCCTGGAATGCGCCGAGCTCGGACACAAAAAACACAAAGAGAACATCTTGGAAAAAAGACAATCAGATGCGTTACTATCAAGCTGCCGAGATATTGCAAATTTCCATTTTGCATTTATACGATATGTTTTTGAACCATTAAAGAATCGGACAGTAAACTGAATTAACACAGGCACTTAATGATTGAAACCTGTCTCTTGTCGTACCTACGGTGGCGTGACAAGTGAAACACACAGGTTTGCTTTGATACATGGCGACCACCATAAATCAGATACAGTTCAAGGATAAAATACACATCTGTTGCTACTGCACAATGAGGACTCGTCACTTTTTGCGGTTGAGAAAGGCGGAGGGGAAGAAGGATCCTTCGCCGTCACTTCCTGGCGAACCGCAGGGGCTGTCTTCTCCACAGCTCATGTCTTCGCAGGAGTCCTCGCTGCGGAAGAAGAGGAGGCCATTAATACTCGGTGATTCAGAGCAGAGCTGAAACAATTAGCTGATTGATCAATGAGTGAACAGACAGAAACTGCTGTATCGGGTCTTCTGTGGTTCTGGAGGGGTTTAGTGAGCTCTAAGAAAATAACCCTGGTGATTTCCCTGCTTTGGCTTAGAGACAAATTTTTAAAAAAACTTTAAGAAAAGCCTGTGTTATAAACAGGAAGTGTGGGGTTTTAAAGATGTAGCTATTTACAAAGAGTTCATTTTCTACCATACTAGCAAAGGCATGACCCACCCTTCTCTGATTTACTCCGCCTCTGACTGGCTTACCCCAACATTCTTACCCTAAACAACCTCACTTCACTCTCACCATGCCTAAACCTAACCAATCCAACCAATGAAGGCAGCAAGAAGAACTAGTGGATCAGAGGTAGACTAGGGCGGGTCATTCAAACAAAGAAGGCTTACAGCGAGGGTCTAATCAAAGGATGTTATTGAGCCGTATTGTAAGCAGTATTTTATGAAAAACTTAGGGCTCATTTCCACCAAAGCCTTTTTTTCCCAGCTGAAATCTCAAGATGCTCCTCAGAAAATGTCCAGCTGGGTGCACTTGAAAGCGCTTTAGAGGGCAGCGTTTTTCAGCTGAGACACATTTGTTGCGTCAGGTTGCTCTGATACAGAATGTTCCGGGAAGTAAAATGTCAGCGCAAGGTCGAGTCATTGCTCAGGATCAAGGGAAGGCTAAAGCATGTAGGGACAGAGGACCGACACTGCCGGTCTGTGTGGGTTCACGAGAGGAGACATTAGGGCTGGGCGGTATACCGGTTCATACCGAAAACCGGTATTTATTTTCGTTATAATATGAATTTTTCATATACCGCGATACCGTAGAATAGCCCAAACAACGTCCGGAACGTGCAGGGCGGGAAAGTGCTTCAGTGGGGACCCATTTCACCACTGCACACCACAGGCACGCTTGAGCGGGTGAGAGTGAGAGAATATAGCAAAGTTTAGAGGCGAGAATGGCTGCCGGAGAGAGTCTTGAAAGCGAAGCAACTGTACACGATGACCCAGAAGAACTCATACCAAAAAGAGCAGTATAGTGTCCCCTATATGCAACTAGCAGCGGCGCACCGCCGTTTACAATTCTCCTCAGCCCTCTGTATCGCGCATGGCGGAGTTTCGCCCCGATGCGCCCCCCCCCCCCCCCCCCCCCCCCCCCCCCCCCCCCCCCCCCCCCCCCCCCCCCACACACACACACACACACACACACAGACAGACAAAGCGCACACTAGAGCACGGCTCGGGCCGCATTTTCCTGACCGAAGACGACCCGTCCCGAGTCCGAGACAGTTATAACTGAGCACAGCACTAATGGAGTGGAGCGTATGTTGTGTTCAGGCGTTGTCAGGTAAATAACAAATTCCAGCACTTGAATAGGCCATAGCACAACACAGCAGCATGTCAAGTTGGCCGAACCTGAGCAAAATACCGTGAAATACTGTGAAACCGATATGATTTTTTCTTAAAACCGTGATATGAACATTTTGTCATACCACCCAGCCCTACTAATACCCCTCATCACAACCCACAGGACTCAAAAGAATCCACCCAAATGCTCTGGTGCCAGACACCACAGGACACTCCCAGAGGTCCTGTGTCCCTGCTTCAATACTTCAGATTCAAGATCTTTTTTTATGTGTCTCAGGCCATGAGCATCTTTTTAGGTGTGGCATGGCACATTGTCCTGCTGAGGGGCCAACTGTCATCAGGGAGTGTTGTTGCCATGAATGGGTGTACTTGGTCTGCAACAGTGTTTGGGTAGGTAGTGTGTGTCAAGTGCCATTCACATGTATGCCAGGACCCAAGGTTTCCCAGCGTAACACTGCATTGTAACAAAATGATCAATGTTATTCACTTCACTTGTCAGTGGTTTTTGGTGTATATTAATATCTATACAGTGTATTAACATATTTATCCTCCATTGTTGTTGTTCAGCGCTTGTACATGTAAGATGTAATGGCTGGTCTTTTTTGTATGTGTGCCGCCTCGCCTCCACTGTAATTGGACAGCTGGGTAAAAAGTGACAGTGACAAGTGTAGCGTTTTACCCCAAACTTAAATATACTTCAACTCTCAGCACTCAGATAAAAATGCCAAACGTGCAGTGTCAAGCGTAGTGTAGACGTCTAGAGTCTCGAGACACTGCTGGGGTTTGTATTGCAGCATATATGCACGGTGCTACCAGTGCTGCCCCTAGGAGTCAGAGCCTCTGCAGCTGACCATTTTTTAAAACCTGTCTTCTCAACTTAAGAAAAAAAAGAGTGAAGTCGATGGCCTTTTAATGTGGAATTTTGATGATTAATAATAATATATCTAGTCATATTTTAAGCACAAATATCAAACATTGACTGGTTCCAGCTTCTCATACGTGAGAATTTCTACTTTTTGCCATTGTTAACTGGACATCTTGAGGTTTTCTTTTTTCCTGAAACTGCGATAGACAGTCTGCACTACTTTCTGACATTTGATAGACTAGGCTGATCAAAAGAATAAATGATAGATTAATCAATGAGAAACAAACTGTTAGCTGCAGCCCTAGTTCAGGGCTCAACTAAGGCACTAATAAGGCCAGAATGACGTACTAAATTGCAGCAAATTGCGGCTTAGCTTGCCAAGACTGTCAAACCATGAATGGATCTAGTTTAACTCTCAAATTGAACTTGTTTACATAATTAGTGTTATTAGCTGTGACTTTTCTGAGTCATGAATTTGAGGACTTAAAAATTACACTGCTGGCATTCAGGAATTACCTTTTGGTCGATATCTCATCACTGCAGCACAGTTTAAAATGCAGCATGAAATAAATACAAAGATGGACTATTGACCTCTCACTCTCGTCCCAGCTCCCCTCGGGAATAGTTGGCAGGCCGGGCACACTGAAGTGATTGGCCTGAAGATTCTGTGCAGTTCTTCTGGAAATGATCCATACAAGCTTTTTGTTGTCTGGTTTGTTACATTCACTTGAGCAGTATTCAGTCATGCATTTGGCCACAAGTTCCTTCCAGTGAAGGAGCTCACTGTCGCTGATCTGTGAAGAAGACAAACAGGAAACATCTGAGAGGCTGCAGACTGAAAAACGCTGTCATCAACAAATGTTTTTCCACATGAATACAATAACTGCACGTGATCAGGCAGTGACACCATCATGTCACATTTTACAAATTGCAACACAGTATTTATAACGCAAAGCAAAGACATGTAAGAAATGATGGAACTGGAGAAGTAAAAAACCTTAGCATGTAAGCCACATAAGATATTTAAATGCAGCTTACTGTGTCTTAACATACAATGCAGTGCTAAAATATTATTATATATAACAATAATGATATATTTGGGGAGGAAGAGACCTCTGCTTTGCGATGCCACTAAATCCTACACAATGATCCTTTAATTGCAAAAATAATCAGCTATTGCAGGAATGCTGTTTTCATACCTTCAGGTGTCTTTGGAATTGCTGTACAATCTTCAACAAGGTGATGGACTGGTGGGCTTCAAACTCCTGAGCAATGAGGGACAGTGCCAGCACTGATGGCTGTGGAAGACAAAAAAAGCATATTAATAAGTCCCGAGGGTAAACGAGAATGCTGCTATGCTGTGAAATTGCCACCTGAGAACAATCCTTACTTTTGCCTTAGAGAAAACAAGCCGGCATAAGCAGGCTTTTAGCTGGGCTTCCAGTCTCCCAATGCTTGGGATCTCCTCCCTTAAAATATAGAGGGAATCCTAATGTAATCCGCCAGTACAAAGCTCATACAGCAGAAACTGTTTGACCAACTCCATGCAAAGTGGAGCAATGCCTTAGCATTAACAACAAGAGTAAGCAAATGTTTACCTTCCAGCAGACAGGGATGTGAAGGCTGAGTAGTAGAGGTGTAGAAACGTTAAGGCTGTCACTGCTTCAGGCTGCACGCTGAGCTTTTGTGAAACGATCTTCTCCATGCGACAGAGGTCTGACACGGTGAACTTGCTTTGGCTGATGCGAATGAGTTCATGGGTGGGTGAGATATTTTTCTCTTCCTCAACCACTTTGGCTGCAATGTGAAGACAGCAGACTCCAATACAGGGCAAGTGTTTGGGCTGCACCTGACACAATGACACAACAGTGTTAAATGTGAGTCAACATCCCATGATTCAAGGTCAAACAGGATCATTGTGGTCACGTTTTCTTCTTACTGGTGACAGGAACGTGATCTTGAATCAGAAATCAGAATAAGGTTTATTACCAAGTAGGTTTTCACGTACAAGGAAATTTGGTGCATAAATTAAACGTACGCAAAACTTATTAAGTGGGAATGAAAATAAGGCAAAGTACTGCAACACTCATGAACATAAATATAGATTGAAAAGTTACAATAAAAATACAGACAGATACTTCAAAAAACACTATAACATAAAAAATATGTACAATATAGCCATTTCAGAATAAAAAAGCTGTACACTTTTGTGCAGAATGTGCAAAAATATTAGTCAGGGGGATATGAAGTAGTTCTCAGTAGAGCAAATGTGTGCAGTGTGCAAATACGCAAAGTTGAACATGCAAAAAATACGCAAAATTGTAACTTGAAACAATATATTACACTTAAAGTTTTTTTAATTCCTACCTTCATGATGGTGAGGAATCTATCGAGCAAATTGACAGCTTGAACAAACGTCTGGGTGTTGTAGCCAAAGAAACTGGTCAGGCCCCACAGTTCCTCCACTCTGGTGTTTCTGCATTTCGCAGACACTCCACTGTGATTCTGAATATGGGATTAGAATACATTTTAAGCAATCCCATAAGCCTGCACAGACAGCCAAAAATGTAAAAGTGGGTCAGTGGGTTACCTCTGTGGATGCCGACTCCATCAGCTTCAAGCCAGCCTCTCTGGGAAGAAAGTTGTGCTCTTGTGCACGACATGACTTCAGCTCTTTCAGGAGCAAGCTGTCAATGGCTTGAAGATCCCTCATCCTGGAAAACAGCATACTTCAATGGTTCTGCATTGTGCTGCAAGAAAAACTCCACAACAACTGTTCCCCTATGTTCCAGATTAAAGACAGGAGGGCTTATAAATGTTGTCTCTTAAACCACACCTACTGGGTGTCAGGTGTCATTGCCAAATTCCCCCACCGCCCAAAACTACTGATTCCTGCGTGACTTAATTTTAACACAGTTGTAACTATATTATAAGATGACTAATGGGGATACTATGTATAAATATGCTTTGGCATAACTAATTAAATACTCAATCTAAGCTAATGTTGACATTACTAGGGGCTAAATGTTAATGTCTGCTCAACAAGAGAAACCAGGTCACCCAGTTTGTCTGAACAGGGTCACTGTTACACATTCCAGAGGAGGTTGAACGAATAAAGACTTTTATCTTTACTCGGCTCATTAAGTAATAAGCATGGACAGAAAAAACAACGTCAGTAATAAACGCTAAAAAGCTGAAGGCGTCACAAACACATATAACGTCAATATTAGCTAACTTAGCTTGCTTGCTAACGTAAATCAACAAACCGATGTCTTACCTTGCCCAACGGCCGCCGCCTCACAGGATTATAACAACGTTGACACTTAATTACACCTCTCAGATCTTCATGTTTCCATTTTGATGATTAACGATGGACGGCAAATGTTAAAAACAAGAACCTTGGACCCTGCTGAAAAGAGAGGGTCCGCCCTGAATAAACAAACAGTTGCCTTGCTAGCAAACGACAATGACCATCATGCACCACTGGAAACGCCATTGCATTGCGTCATTGCGTCATAACAGACTCTAGGAAAAAAAGCGGATGTTGACGGATTATTTCAAAGTGTCGGCGCTAATGTTACTTTTACTATCGTTTCAATATCAGGTTTACCTAAACAGATATCAGAATAACATAACCAGTCAATAAATTTTAACTAGGTCAACAATTAGCGCCAAGATACACCAATTTATTGCTAGCGTAACGCTAGCAAGGAATTAGCCACGGATGCTGTTTCCATGGTGATTTTACGCTTAACGGCAACTTTCTAGCTAGTTGATGATGTTAGCTTTAGCTGTTTAATAGTTAGTAACACTCAGAGCTTAGTTATTGATATGAACAGAGATGTTATCATCGGGGTTTCAGTCCTCTGATCTTCAGAGTATTACGAGCAATAATGGCGCTCATGTTTTGCAGTTTGAATCTCCACCGAGCCACACAAAACTAACACAGAAAACGACAAGAACAACCAGTGAGTCACAGTTAGCTTAAGTTATTGGAAATCTCAGATAGCTAAGTCATTAAACGAACAGTTTTGTTGTCTTACTGTTTTGGAATTGGTCAGTTAAAGTCCTTTGTTTAACTTTCTTTACAGAGACCCACGACGCCTCTCCTCGGCTGAGATGTAACAGCCTTACACTCGATGAATTGAGGTAGGTAAAACTATAGACTCTTCTGATTTAATGCAACATCAAAATGGCATATGTTTTGTAATAATTAGTTCATTTTCTCATGTGATATTTCAGCTCAACTCCCAACTAATGAGCAATCACTGCTTTAGCTTCATGTTTACTTTGATTTGATCCAAATTTGATCTATAAAACCATGTTAACAAACAGTTATTAGAAGACCAACACAAAATATGTAACATGAAATATAATTAACAAAATGTCCACATCAAAACACCCACTGGAACAACACAAAACAAATGTATGGATTGAATAAAATTTAATTAATAACTGTAAGCCCTGACCTGACCTCTAAAAGTCCCTTGTTCTTGTCCACTTGACATCTATGAATTACACTCTCCATCCCTCCATTGATCATTTTTACAGTGAGGAGCTTGAAAAGCGCACCAAGGAAACCCAAAGGCTTCAGGAAGAGGTGGAAAATGCAACCAAAATGGCCTTGGAGAGGTTTGGCTGCACAAATGGCGTCCACAGCTCACCTGGACAAAGCTGCCACAACCACAGCTTTAATGTTGGTGAGTACAAGAGGCATCACGCAACATTTTGTAGCAGCAGCCAGACATGAAAATAAGAGATAATTTTACTTTTCACAATACCCACATTATGATACACTGACTGAAACCCATTACAAGTGGTAAAGCTGAAGGTTAATCCAAAATATTTGTCACTAGACTTGATATAGAGATAAAGATGGGTGACAAATTAAAGGAAAAACCAACATGAAGTGTCTTAGCATGGAGTCAGGCCACCATGGGCCGCCAGAACAGCTTCAATGCTCCTCGCCAAGTCTGTGGACTTTTTTGGAGGCATGACCACCTGTCGTCGCCAAGATGTTTCCTCATTTATATAAACAACCTTTATTTAATCTTGTAATGTCATTGAGCTCAAGTTCTCTTTTGCGAGACAAACCTGAGTACAGCAGATGGAAAGAACACAAGCCTAGCCAGACATAACAAAGGACATACAGCATCAAGGACAATCACAGAAATTACTGAATAGTTATTAAGATGAAAGTATATTTTATATCTTTTGTTTTTATGGAGATGTTGGCAGAGAGCACTGTGTTATATGTTGATCCGAAATCTTCAATACGTGTTCAACTGGGTTGAGATCTGGTGACAGTTAAGGCCATAGAATTTTATTCATGTCATTCTTGTACTCACCAAACCATTTAGTAAGCTCTGGTGCATGGACGCATCTGTATTTAATATGTTTATCCATTCATTTATTCAAGTTTTTCATTGAGTTTTCCCCTACTTGTATGTAGGGGAAAAACACTGGAAAGCAAAGTATTTTAAAAGTAATTCAACACAAGTCAAAGTCTTGCTCGTGTAACTGTTGCATACTGACATGTTTCACCAACCTTTAACTATGACAACATGCACAGTGTGTATTTTGAACTTCCTTTGCTCTTTTGGCAGATGACTCACCTGGGGATTCCACTTTTCTTTCAACCCACCAGCAGGCCATGACTCAGCCTCTGGTTTGTGATCTGGATAGCGTAGACCAAGGGGTGGCCCATAGGGAAAACAGCTCTCCTGGAAGGGAAGTGTTTGAGAATACAGTAGATGACTGTCTTCAACAGCTGTCTGACTTGCAGCTCAACAAGGTTCATACTTTTATTTTAGTCATGAATATCATTCATTCGTGCTGTCTGAATTACCTATTTGGTAATGCTTTCTGCATGTAATGTATTATTTTACCCTCTCAGTCACAGACCCATGATCAACCTAAGCAAGAGCCGTTCAATTTTGACAAAGCCATCATAAACCTGCAGACTAAGTTGCAGAAAGTGCAGAAGGAGAAGGATGCCCTGTCTGACCTCAGGTGAAGACACTGATCAAATTTTCTGTAAATAACTGTTTCATATCACTTTGACCCACAGATCTTTTCATTTGTAGATTGAAGGATTCAAGGACACACGTTGGTCAGATGGAAAGGATGCTGTTCATGTTGGAGGAGCTCCAAAACATTAAAGGGGCAGAGGGCCAGAAGCTGCAGGAGACGGAGGATGAGACGTTGGCACTTAACAGGAGAGTAGAGACACTGGAACAGAATGTAAAGGACATGTACTCACTGTTATTTCACGAGACACAATGCGGACACAACGCCATCACCAGTCCTAATGTCGCCAGTAGTTCAAGACAGCTACCTAAGTTAACTGAGGATTTTAACAATGACACAGAACAGCTACAGGAGAGACTTTGTTTGGTAAGTACAAGAAGTCAATTACAGATCATGTTGAGTCTACCTTAGACTTACACTTAGTCTCCTGTTATGTCTGATATATTTTTCATCTGTTTTATAGCAGTCAATAAAACATCTGGGGAGTGAAGAAACCAGTGAAGTAAATAAGCAAAAAGAAAGGTAATTCAATGGAGAGCTGCAGTGATTTGTCGATTAATCATTTAGTGAATTGGCAGAAAATGAATCAGAAACTATTCTGATTATAGATTAGTCATTTTAAATTTTTCTCCTTAAAGGGACAGTTCATCCCAAAATCAAAAATATGTACTTTTCCTTTTACTTGTAGTGTTATTAGGCTATTTGGTGTGAGCTGTCGAGTGTTGGAGATATCTGCCATTCTCTTAAATATAATGGAACTAGATGGCACTTGGCTTGTGGTGCTCAAAGTGCAATGTCTCTTTCCAGAAATCATGACCTGGTTACTCAAGATAATCCACAGACCTTATTGTGAGCAGTTTCATGTAGGAACTATTTTCTTCCTACCTAACTACACCTGCCAACCTAATCACAGTGCAAGCATGCAACTACTGCTAGCTCGCCTGTCACTGCTGAGCTAGCTATTGTCACAGAGCTCAGTTGAGAAGGACGCCATTAATGTTTACATCTTGCACTGCCCCAAGCACAAGCCTCTCGTTCATGAGTAGATGCACACTTTCTTCTGCTAGGTGATTCGGTTGGTGGGTGTAGTTCTGTAGAAAGAAAATGGTTCCTACATGAAACCTCTCACAACAAGGTCTGTGGATTATCTTGAGTAACCGGGTCGTGATTTCTGGAAAGAGACATTGCTGTTGAGTTTTTCACATGTCTTTTTTTGGCCCCTTGAGCGCCACAAGCCGAGTGCCATCTAGTCCCATTATGTCAGAGAGAAGGCAGACATCTCTATGGCTAGTATCTATAACACTATGCAACTTCAGATACAGAGGAGAATTATGAAATTATTATGACGATTTGGGGGTGAACTGCCCCTTTAAGTGAAGATGCTTTCTTACTCATATATGATGGAAAGACAAATATTGTTGTGTTTACTTCTATTCATTCATTATTATTTAAGTTAGAAAATGATAACTGGACACAGTGTAGGCTGCCAAAAGGCCACCAGCGCTGCCAGACTTACAGCTGCAGCTGCTTGCCCAATCCATATCAGATGATAGTGTTCTTGTATGACTTCATCTCTTCCAATTGTTGTGTGTGTCTTATCTAAAATGCTCCACTGTCTGTCCTAAGTATAGTGCGTCTGCCACAGCAGTTCACTCATCACATTGTTGTGTCCTAGAATGGAAGACCTGATTGCGAGTCTTGGCCAGGAGGTGGCACTGTTGACTGACAAACTGAGTTCATCAAAACACAACAGCATCAACTTGAGTGTCAAGTTGGAGCTGCTAAAGTGAGTGTCCCCAGATCATTTAGTGCCAGTTTTATCAGAGTGTGTGTGCAGTCTAAGAACACCTTCTTAGATGATCAGACAGTGTTGCATTTCTGAATTAATGTGCATGTGTCAAAATATATTTATATATATATTTATATTTTTTTTTTTATGCCCAGGAAACTTGCAGAAAGACAGACATCACTGCACCAGTGTCAGGTCAGTGAACTTGAGTCAACCCTCAACAGCCATAAAGATAAGGTAAGGAAGAATTCACAACAATATGTGTGGCAATAAAAGCAATGAGATACGGAGACCTTTAACCATACATGTTTATCCACTTCACTAGATGTCAGTCAGTAGATCAGTGAGACCACCTTGGTTTAAAGATTAGATAAACAGTGATAGAACTCCTGTCTTGTCACGAAAATACAAATATGTCCTTCCTGTGCCAGAATGAAAACTAAAATGATATTTTGTTTGGTTTGGGACATTGCAGGTTTGCTTTCTGGAGCAGCAGCTCATTCAGGCTCAGTCCCAGCTGGTGAACGCCCAGCAAGAGAAAGAGCAATCTTTACAACAAACAGAGGAGCTTCAGTCGAAGCTTGGCCAGCTTAAGGTGCTGCAGCAAACCATGAATGTGATACCAGCGTTTTGTCTCTTCTTGTTG